CTAAATGGAAAAATCAGACAGAATAGGCGAACACAAATGATACAATGGAATAACAATAACAGACTAATAAATAAATAAAAAATATATATCTATAAGGCTATTAAATATATATATATATATATATATATATATATGTACATATAAATATGTATAAAATATATAATTAATAAAAATTTAATTAATAAAAAATAATAAATAATTAATAAAGAATAAGTAAAAAAGCCTTGAAGTAGCCAACAAACAGTGCACATGCTACTAGGGAAATGTTGATAAATGTATTGTATATCAAACAAGTATAAAAAGCTAATATGTAGAGAACTGAAAGGAAAAAGAACATATTATAGGAGACCTTGAAGGTCTATTTCTGCATTAAGATCTTGTTGCAGGGTTTTTAAGTTAGAAATCCAGAAAGCTTCTTGGCGAATGAGTTCCTGTAGTTTATTTCCCCCCCCCCCCAACCACAACCTAAATCAATCTGATCTATACCGAATGCTAAAAAAATATCCCAGCAGAAAGCAGACAAGAGTTACAATGTTTTAGGACACTGTGATCAAGTTTGCCTTTTTTGATGTTGTTAAAGTGCTCCAAGAGTCTTACATGAAGCTTGTGTGTGGTGCAACCCACATACTGGGCTCTGCATCCACATTGCAATAAATAAATCACAAAAGTGGAGGAGCATTGAATGTGCTTTTTTATGTTGTATGTTTTCTTAGTATAAGTGCCCACAAAGTTTAAATTTTTTCTTCTCGGATATTTAGATGTGGAGCAATGATCACAATGGAAAAAAAACATATATAGGGGTTTGAAGTAAATTGTTGGGGGGGAGAGGTTAGTGGGGAGAAGACTGGGAGCCAATTTGCTTTTTAAATTATTTGCTTGTTTATATATTACTGTTGGAAATTTTGTTAGAATATCTTTAAGTATGTAATCCTTCTTTAAAATATACCAATATTTCCTAAGAACTTTTTTCAATTCTTTTTGTCTGAGCATTATGTTGTGTCATAAAAGCAAATTGGAATTTGCTATTATTTATGTTTTGTTTTTTATTATGTTGCTGATTAGTGTTATCTTGTAAAAGGAGAAATCTGTCAGTATTTAACCCCTTAAGACCGGAAGGCGTACTATTACGCCCTATTTTAGGCGGCTCTAAACGCTTCCGGTCTTTCCTTACTTACCTGGAGCCCCCCGCGGCAGATCCTCCTCCTCCGGCACCCCCCGGCCATGTGAGAGTGAGGTCCTTGCGAGGACCTCACAATCACATGGCCGGGATAGCTGGCTGTTGTATTGCCAGCAGGGGGGTAGCCTGTAATTACAGGTGGTCCCCCTGCTGGCTGGAAATAAAAATAAAATAAATTGTAAAAATAAAAGTGTAAAAAAAAATATATATATGATCTAAGTATATATATACACATATACATACACACGTACACTGTCTAGGTGTATTTTACTATTAATATATATATAATTATATATATATATATATTAATATCAAATTACACGTAGACTGATATTGATTAAATATATATATATAATTATTGTTATATATATATATATATTATATATAATATAAAAAAATTAAATATGTAAATACGTTAAAAAATAAAATAAAATAAATAATTTAAAAAAAAATAATTAAAAAATATATAGATGTGTGTTATTTCGTTCTAACTGTATTGTGATATTAATATATATATTTATATCAAAATACACATAGAACAAAATAATATATATATATATCTATATACATACATATATACGTATATATCACTATATATATACCTATATATGAATAAAAATATTTAAAAAAAATTATATATATATATATATATATATATACATACATATATATTCACATACGTATATATACATATATTAATTCTACATATATATTTATGTAATATTTTTACATAATTGGGTATCTTAATTAATTACAATTAGCGGGACCTGCCTGACAACCCATGCCGAAAGTAAATGGAATTTAATTTGCTAGCACTATATTTAACCTGTACATGGGGGGTACTGTTCTACTCGGGGGACTTTGCTGAACACAAATATTAGTGTTTCAAAACAGTAAAATGTATTACAACGATGATATCGCCAGTGAAAGTGACGTATTTTGCATTTTTCACGCACAAACAGCACTTACAAGGACGATATTATTGCTGCAATACTTTTTACTGTTTTGAAACACAAATATTTGTGTTCAGCGAAGTCTCCCGAGTACAACAGTACCCCTCATGTACAGGTTTTATGGTGTTTTCAAAAGTTACAGCGTCAAATATAAGGCTTGTGTTTCATTTTTTTCACATTAAAATTCGCCAGATTGGTTACGTTGCCTTTGAGACCCTATGGTAGCCCAAGAATGAAAATTACCCCTATGATGGCATACCATTTGCAATAGTAGACAACCCAAGGTATTGCAAACGGGGTATGTCCAGTCTTTTTTAGTAGCCACTTAGTCACAAACACTGGCCAAAATTGGCGTTTTTTGCATTTTTCACACACAAACAAATACTAACGCTAATTTTGGCCAGTGTTTGTGACCAAATGGCTACTAAAAAAGACTGGACATAATCCATTTGCAATACCTTGGGTTGTCGACTATTGCAAATGGTATGCCATTATGGGTTTAAATTTCATTCCTGGGCTACTATAAAGTCCCAAAGGCAACGTAACCAATCTGGCGAATTTCAATTTCAAATGTAACGTGCTATATTTGACCCTGTAACTTCCCAAAATGCTATAAAACCTGTACATAGGGGGTACTCTTTTACACGTGAGACTTTGCTGAATACAAATATGTGTATTTTATTGCAGTAAAAGCAAACAGTATTATGACATTGACCGTTAAAATGTCATGTAGAACTAAAAAAATCTAAACAAATCTTATTTTCTCCCATTTTTTTCATATTAAATTATGTTTCTAAATATCTGATATTAAATGAAAGCCCTGTTTCCCCTGAATAAAATGATATATAATAAGGGTGGGTGCATTTAATATGAAAGAGGTGAATTACGGTTGGACAGACATGTAGCGCAAATGCCAGGTTTTGTTTACATTTTGTTTTGTTCACAACGTGTACATTTGGCTCCGTCCTTAAGGGGTTAATACAATTTGTTCATCTGTTTTCAACTTAGCTGGATTATAACCTTTTTCTGTATATAATTTTTTTATAATATGGGCTTGTTGCACAAAAGTGTGATCATCGGTGCAGTTCCTTCTAAGACAAATTAATTGACTTTTGGGGATATTGGTAAGCCATGAGGGATGGTGAGAGCTAGAGTATTCTGTTGCAATATTGCAATCAGTGGGTTTGAAATATGTTTTAGTTTTTAATTGATATTGATCTATATAGATAGTGAGATCCAGAAAATCTATAGAAGTTGCGTCTGATTTAGAAGTAAATTTTAAATTATAATCATTTTGGTTAACATATTCAAAAAAGGCATTCAAACCTTCAGCATCTCCCTCCCAAATTAACAGTTCATCGTCTTTGTAGCGCTGCCACAGGACCCGTCTGCCCCCTGTATAGTCTCCCAACCTGATATGATGTTGTTCCCAATGGGACGCATATAAGTTGGCAAAACTGGGGGCAAACTTGGTACCCCTGGCAACGCCACACAGCTGTAGGAAATATTGTCCATTGAACCAAAAAAAGTTTAGAGTAAGCAAAAAAGTGATGCAATTTATAAGGAAATTAATTTGTACGTCCTGCAGATGTTCATGCAAACCAAGAATTTCTTTTAAGGCCATTATCCCTTTATGATGGGGGATATTAGAATATAAAGCCGTGGGGGGGGGTGGGCGGAGTCTGTCCACCATCTTAGATGGCCACGTTCTAGAGGAGCTCCTGAGGCAAGGGGACACTTGAAAAAGCCTATTGTTTGGTGAAACGCGTTGTGTATTTTACTTTGTTTTATATTAAAGTATTTTGAGACTACCTTTTATCTTGGGTTAGTTCATTTACTTTAAATGTTGCTGTTTTATCCTGGCTGATTTTCTTTTTTAACAAGACCCAGTACTTCAAAAGAAATCCTTGGTGGGGATTATTCCACCTACGCCTGGTTCATAGAGCAGTGCGCCTGCTCTGAACACTGTAAGTATGTTTCTTTTTATTTTTCTGTTATTTTATATATGGAAAACACTATGGGCCCTCTCTTGTGATTTTATTTTCATAAGTCCGGCACTGCAAGCATCACTAGAGGAATATCCTACACGTGGGGAGTTTAAATACCACTGTATGCTGTTTTACTCAGAGCTGGTCATAGCTCTAAAAATTGTAAGTTGGCACTCTTAGGACCTCAGTGTTGTCTGTCGTTGCAATATTACCTTAGTTATTGCACCATTGGATTTTCCTTCTTTTATATATTTTATATGCTGACGTTTGTCTGAGAAGGTGTAAAGAATCGTGTGGAGTCACCTCCAATTTGCCCAGTAATATCCTACATGTGGGGAGTATTAAATACCACTGTATGCTGTTTTACCTAGAGCTGGACGTAGCTCTATAAATTGTAAGTTGGCATTTCTCCACGTCTGTGTTGTTCGTGATCCTCCCAGTATTACGGTTTTGCACTATTCGGTCTCCCCCCTCTCTGCTTTTGTATTCCATATCTGACTACGGAGATTCCAAAGCAAGAATAGAAGAACAGTCACTCAAGATCTACACTATACCTATAGAGACTCTTTCATTTTTTTCTAGCGCCCCCTGTATCTGTTGTCTGTTGTTCTCTCAATTTTTGAAGGGTTTGAGGGTTACCCTTCCTTTCAGGTGTGCAGCTCTATCCCCCTTTGTGAACAGTACTGTAGCGCTGTTCCCCCCCCCCTTTTTTGTCTTACTAAGGGGACATAAATGTTTCATAAATAAAATATTAAGCCTGGATGACAGAGAATTTTACACAGAAAGAGACACCTGAACAACTGGCAACAATGCAGAAACCAAAAAAAATGAAAAAAACATGCCTGTACTGCAAAAGCGAGAGGCTGGAGCTGCAGGGGTGAGTAAAGGCCTGCAGGCCCATTCACCTGCCAACAAAACTGGCCAGCGGCTTATTTCACCACATAAATCCACATTGGTGGGAGTGGTGAAAACTATCCCACCCGCTCACCCAGTTACCCAGACAGAAGATGACACCCGCTCGCGCGCTATAATTAAAGCAACCCGGTCGCTGGGGTATAGGGGGCATGAGATCTCGCTCCCCATTGAGGTCCTCGGACTCACAGCTGGGAACACCGGTGAGAGGGAGTCATTCCCTCCATCTTCCTAAAAGACAAAGAATTGGTAGATGATGGTGACAATTTAAAAACTGTGATGTATTGGAAGAAGAAATAGGCTCCATTTATTATCCTTCTATGCAACAAAACATCAGGCATGAAGCCTCCACCAAGATCGCTACTAATGAGACTTCTATTAATGATTTTACCACACCCAAGATGTCTACCACTGTGCATGTAACCACTGCCACCACCAAGATGGCCACTGCCACTTCTAACATGGAAACTGCCACATCCAAGATGGCTTCTTCAGGATTCAAAACCATGACCTACAATCCTAATATGCCACTTGAAATGGCAGAGGATTTACTACCTTCTGCTGGTATGATTATTCAACTTCTACATAATTTGAGAGTGGATTTAAAGAATGACTTTAGAAAAGATTTTGACACTATGTACGGAGTTTTAGAAAACATTGGTCAACGTACAGAAGATGTTGAATACAGAATGCAGGTGCAAGAACAGTAACATTTAGATCTGGTTAACACTGTGAAGGAACTTCAGAAACAGGTCAACTTGCAAGCGGAAAAAATGGCAGATTCTGAAGACAGGAGCAGGCGTAACAATTTGAGGATCAGGGGGATACCTGATAATGTGGACACCTCGGACTTGATACATTATTTCAAAAAAAATGGTTAAAACAATTTTACCCAAAGCTACTGATTTAGATCTAATAGTGGATGATATCCACAGACTCCCTAAATCTGGCAAAGCACCTGCAACAGCTCTAAAAGACACCATAGTGAGACTACACTTTTTTCATATAAAACAGGAAATCCTGAGCACTATTCGCAAATCAGGTCTCCCTGCGGATTATAAATACATCAAAGTTTTCCAAGATTTCTGAGCCTACACTATGAGAATTCCAACCCTTCACGACAGAGCTGAGGCAAAGAGAGATTCGTTACAGATGGGCATGCCCTGTAAAACTACTCTTTCATATGGATGGCAGAAATTTCACAATCACTTCTCCTGAGGAAGGGATGGAGCTTCTTAATGCCATGAACAGACATCAAACCCAACCTCACGTAACCTCACCGTCTACTCCAAGACACACCCACAAGAAAAGTAGGGTGGATGACACTTGAAGCTACTTTCTTTTAAAATTTTGAAGGCACAAAAGCTCCAACATACATATTGCCGGTTTGGATTTATTACTTCCTCCACGTTGTTTTATTACATCCATTTTATTACTTATGAATTGTTTTTTCTCTTTCCCTTTTTGTTCCCCTCTCTCTCCCATTTTATGGTCCTACATTCTTTATGCTCTTTATTGTGCATCAACACTTGGTTAAATGTCTATAGGTCAGTGATGTTTTTGAATGTATATTACTGATTTCTGATATAGGCCTGGGACATTCTGAGCATATATCGGACTTCATTAGAGATGTGATCACGGAACTAGAAGGACTCCATCCTTTATTGATCTTCTCTGCATGCCACTGTTCATTTTTCTTTTTCTTTAAAGCTCTGACTGTTTTCCCCTTACCGCAGGCAGTTTTCTATCTTCCCAACCGGGGCCTAATACCCTGAGATGGAGAATTATTTTTTATTCTCCCTCATGGCCCTTTTTCTAAACATAGATTTTTTTCTCTCCCCGTATAGGGGAATTTATCCAAGTTTATTATTCCCCATTTTTAATTTTTCCTTTTTATCCCATCCATTTACTAATTCACTGTAAGCAATTCAAGAAGCTAACAGGTTATGCTTCAAATGTTTTAGCACGCTCACTCTTGTCTAAAGAAATGTATTTGTTTTTATGATTCTTGGATTTCATAACTCTCCTCTTGGGACGCGGGCCTTTGGGCTCCCACATTTCTATACAATCTCTTTTTAATGGCAGTATACTCTGATTTGAGTCATGGTCATTAAACTCATGTCATTTAATGTGAGGGGCCTGAACACCGCTCACAAGAGGCGACTATTGTTCAAAGAAGTCAAATCCAACAAATCAGATATTGTCTGTATTCAAGAGACTCATCTTAAGGAAGGAAAAGAGTACAAATTTATGACACGGTTATTCCCTTCTCAATTTCATTGCACTTACAAAAATAAGTCTAGAGGTACTTCCATTTTTTTTTAGCAGTAATGTGGCCAATTCTACAGAAAAGATAATGACGGATGATGATGGGCGGTACATAGGGTGGATTGGTAAGGTTAACAACGTTATGTATACAATTGTCAATGCGTACTTTCCTAACACGGGTCAGCTTACTTTCTTTAGGAAAATTATGGATTTGGTGAATGAGAACATGAAAGGGACTTTGGTGATGTGTGGAGATATGAACTTCGTTATGGATGGCGACTTAGATAATGCAAGGGATAATTTGGATAAACTCCATAGGAGAGATAGTGATAGACTAGCTGTGAAATACTCGAAATATATGCTTGAATGTGGACTGTATGATCCATGGAGATTAATGCATGAGAATGAAAGAGACTTTACTTTTTACTCAGTATCCAAGAACATGTATTCCAAGCTGGACAGGTTTCTGATACAGGGTGCTATCATACCACACATTTCAAGATCTGATATTTTAGATATCAATTGGTCTGACCATTCTCCCATAACTTTGCATATAGACGAAATGGTTTCTTTCTCCCCCAATAGGCACTGGAAACTGAGTGATTACTTATTAGATGATCCTGAAAATAGATCGCTAGCTGAAGGGATACTGAATGACTATTTTTTTAAAAATGTTTCTCATGAGGTTCCTGGTGAGGTGACATGGCATGCGCACAAGGCTGTATTGAGAGGCCATTCCATTTCTAGGGCGTCTCATTTGAAGAAGAAAAATAACAGCAACTTAAGAAATTTGGAAAAAGAACTGTACAACCTAAATCAGCCAAATAAATTCGGCCCATCTTCCCCCTTGTCAGCAATGATAAGGTAGATTAAATCAAAAATTCACAAAATAAATTTGGATCAAACTACTCTCATGGTGAGACACCTCAAGAAAGCGTTTTATTTAAAGGGTAACAAGGCTTCAACTCTCCTGGCGTCCAAACTCTGGCAGGTGAATGCCCATTCTAAAATTGCGTACTTAATAGATGATCAGGGACAAAAAATATTTCACCCAAATAAGATTAGTGACCAATTCGCCAAATATTATAGTGTACTTTATAATTTGAAATCTGATGTAAATCTCACCCAGCCGTCTGAGGCGACTATTAATAATTTTTTAGACAGGGTTTTGTTGCCTCGGCTGTCTTCTGATAATTTGGAAAAATTAGAGCGTGATATATCTGAAGCAGAGATAGCCGAGGGGATTAGGCTCATGCCATCTAGAAAGGCCCCTGGTCCTGATGGATTCACCATTTTATACTATAAGACCTTTGCAGAAACTTTAATTCATCATATGTCCAGATTATTCAACTCCTATAAATCCGGGGGGAAGATGCCAGGAGAGTCTTTGTCCACACAGACTGTCACATTGCCAAAACCAGGTAAAACTCCCGACAGATGCTCTAATTGTAGGCCCATATCCCTTAATAATAATGACACAAACATTTATTCTAAGATACTAGCGAACCGATTAACTAATCTAATACCTTTATTGATCAACAATGACCAGGTGGGATTCGTGAAAGGTAGACAAGCACCTGATGGAACGAGATGGTTCATTAACTTAATTCAGCATATCAATTCAACATGAACTCCTTCTCTGCTCCTTTCATTGGATGTAGAGAAGGCATTCGACAGGGATATCTATGGAAGACACTGAGCAGATTTGATATTCCACAATCTTTTATTACTGCGATAAAGGCACTATACAGTGCACCCATAGCTTATGTATCGGCCTCGGGTTTCTAATCCAGAACGTTTTCTCTAACTAATGGGACGCGGCAAGGCTTCCCCTTATCTCCAATTCTCTTTTTCCTGGAGATGGAACCCCTGGCCGAACTGATTAGGACAACCCCAGAAATCGCAGGTATTAATATCAAGGGATCCACTCATAAAATTATTGCAGATGACGTCATTCTAGCACTCAAAAACCCAAAAGACTCTCTGAAATCTCTCAATACTATTCTGCTCCAGTTTGGACAAGTGTCTTATTATAAATTAAATGTATCCAAGACCCAGGCCCTACCTTTCCACTTGCATAAATCTGATACGATTGAATTAAGACTATAATATCCGTTCGATTGGAGGAGGGATTACCTGGAATATTTAGGAATTAACTTATGCAAACATTTACCTTATATGCATATTCATAACTTGAAGAGAGCATGGCCGGACCTACAAAAGGAGATGGAGAGATTGGGTGGTATGGAGTTATCGTGGTTAGGAAGAATTGCCTCCATAAAAATGTCAATCCTCCCAAAAATCTTGTACTATTTTAGAACTATCCCCTTATCTGTTCCAATGCCCTTCTTTAACAAAGTACATTCAATAATGCTAAAATTTATTTGGAACAACAAACCCAGCAGAATTAAACTTACATCCCTGCAGCACCAAAAACTTCATGGGGGCATTGGTGTCCCTAATTTCAGAAAGTACTACTTTGTAACTAACGCTGCAGCGGTTGTAAGCTTTAATAGTCAAAAATATAGGCCGAGATGGATGGAGATAGAGGAATCTAGCATTCTAAAAAAACACAGACTGTATCATATACAGGACTTTTTCCATGGAAACTCTATTCGTATGAAAGATTACAATTTAAGCATAGACTGGTGACCAAATGTAAGGATTAATGTGAGTTGGTGATTGAGAAATTAAAAGAAATATACAACATAACGGAAACCGACAAAAATTCGAAAGCACTAGAATTATCACAACTAGAAAAGCTATTTTTGCATGACCCGAATAGGAAGGGCATTATATCTATCTGTTATATGTTACATAACGATAAACCATCAATTAAACTGAAGCATATGTTATCCTGGAAGACGGAGCTGGGTTCCCAATATAAGTTGGAGGATTGGTTCAGTTTTTTTTCAGCTCTGAATGGCCTATCTTTCTGCTCCAACCATCACGAAAACCACTTTAAAATTCTGTATCGATGGTACCTGGCCCAGTCTAAATTGCATAATATGAATAATAAGTACAGCGATAGATGTTGGAGATTTTTATGCTTTTTTCAATCTGTACTCAAGAATCCTAGGTGGGGACTATACCACCAACGCTATATTAGTGAGCAGTACTCTCCTGCTCACCTAAATGTGAGTATTCTATATACTTTTATATTTACGTCACATTTATTATACAGTGAGCACTATTTTGTGTTATTCTCCACTTTCCCTGAGGTTTTTCTCTACGTGCACAAGCCTGTATCCCATCAGTGGGGGATCTATACCACTGGATGCGAAGTCTATCTGAGC